GTGTGTTCGTGTAGTGTAGTAGTAGTAGTAGTAGAGAGAGAGAGAGAGAGAGAGAAGAGAGGAGGAGGAGAGTAGTGGTGTAGGTAGTAAGAAGTAGAAGTAGAGAGAGAGAGAGAGAGAGAGAGGGAGAGAGAGAGATTGGATTTCGAAGATAGAGAACAAGTTTTGGGTGCAGGTTTAAGAAGGCTATCTTTGGGATTTTGAACAATTTATCTGATCTTGCCCGAAAAAAAAATGGCCCGAACGCCCGATACAGCCTGTAAAGTGGCCCAAAATCAGCCCTAATCTTTTATAAGGTCCTCAGTGCTAGTCTTAATAAGGTTCGCAGTTAGGTTTTTGAAACAAGAAAGCTGCTCTTTTATGAGGCAACTAAGGTTCATAATTCTCAGTAAAACAGATGCTATTTGGGATTATCAAGGGATGTCCAGTACCTAGACACACTAGCCACCTAAAGCTAAAATACATAGAGGAATGGGATTTTAGGTGCCATGAATGATAAAATGGCAAGCCATTCCCTCTTTTGGGGCCAGATAATTTATTATACACAGAAAACAAATGCTGCTGTTAGGTGCGTGTACATATGCTCTAGAGGTTGCTCAAACCCGAAGATTAGTAGACAGTGATTGCAAAATTCTATTATATCGCTAAAAATGTGTCTATGTTCTAGAGGAACAGGGTGTTGAATGTGAATCATTACCGAAGGGGAAGCAATTCTGAGGCAGACTGTGGCTAAGAATAGGATATCTAGGGTTGTGGGACTTTGTCCAACTGGTCAACTTGATTCATGATCTAATAATAAAATAATTCATCAGAACAATCAATACCGACACTCATATCATAAAATGTAACCACTCCGTATGTTTTCTATCCTATAACAGATAACAAGTTCACCAAACAACATAGCCTGCAAATGAGAATTTCAGCATTTATCATAATTAGTCTACCTGCTTGCTGATCACTGGGCCAAGGTCGGTACCAGGTTCAGTTCCTGCATTTACTTTAAGTTGCTCAGCACGCTCCCTTAGTCCTTCCTCCCTGGTGTCAAGTAAGCCATTAAAAAATTTGGCATGAAATATAGAGAGTCAACTGCATGTCACTTACAGAGGCCAAAAGTTCAACAAAAAGGCTACAATCAAGAGCAATGCTTCCAAGAAAGGAGGTTCATACGAAGAATGTCGATATAGAAATCTCTAGAAAATTTGTACATGAAGCATTTCAGATATAGGATAGCAAATCCAGGCAATGTGCAAAATCTAACATAGATTTTTGTATTGCTAACTATCACAAGCTTTTAGTCAAGTAATTATTCCATAATCAGTACCCCTTCATAGGGTCTCAAATCTAGCACTTATAAAACTCACTGTTGTTGAAATTCGTTGATCTACTGTGATTTTTCACACATTCAAACACATATACAAGATCAATCTTTACATGCTTTAACGAACTCAACCAATTCATTTTCTACTCAACGCAAACAGCTGATGTAAAATTCAACTTTAATTTCTTTTCTGTTGTTGGACAACAGAATTTTCAGTACTGGAAAAGTTAGAACATATAAAACATTAAAAAATAAAAAAATAATAATCAAGGGAGACCTAACAATGAACACCCACTATAAGGATATTAATTTCATCTATCAGGAAGAAAATAACACACAAGAAACTAAGCCCAATAGCTACAACCACAATAAATAAGCTCAAAGGAAGAACGCCAACCACTTATGCAAAAGCAAGGAAACATGTATGCATGGGCAAGTTAATCCTAATAACTGAGCTTTCAAATAAACTGCAACATAGTTTGAAATGATGCGACAAAAAAGGATGACTGAAAGGGAAGCAATGCACGGGTAAAAATGGAACTAAAACAATTTACCATGGTTTCAAATCTCCAATGAAAACAACTGTACTAAGCGCCATGCACCGTTGCCCAGCAGCACCAAAACCAGCTGCAACTAGAGAATTCAAGGTAGCATCAATATTTGCATCAGGCATGACAACTGCATGGTTCTTTGCTCCCATGTTAGACTGAACATGAATGAGTCAGCCAGTTAGTTCATAACCCCATATGGCAGGCCCATGTAATAACAAGCTCGTTTACAATCATTCTAAAATAACGAAGAAGATTGGTACCTGAACACGTTTTCCTTTTGCTGCTGCCCGAGCATAAATGTGCATTCCAGCCTATTAATCCATATTTACAAAATTATCTATATTAAGGATTGAAACTAATTCAATCTTACAGATCAAAATTCACTAGTTAAAGCATACAGTACATAAGATAAACTTACTGTATTTGAACCCACAAATGATATTGCCTTAATGTCTTCGTCATCACAAATATGGTTCACAACATCCTATTCAATTCCAAATTTGAGACATCAAACAAGAAGTTATTGTACTATTTCATAACCAAACATTAGACAACAAAGAGACCATAGAAAATAGAATCCCGTCCTTCATATGGTAAAAACGTAAGCATATAATTTCACACTGAATTCCGAATAAAGTATTGTTAAAATTAAAAAGTATCTTATTTGCACATGAGATATACTGAGAGCAACTGACATACATTAGTTCCATGAACTATATTTAGGACACCATCTGGTAAACCAGCCTCCATTGCAAGCTCGGCAAGCATCATAGATGCCCCTGCACCAGTCATACAACATACTTGAAGCCTTGAAGGAATTCGGAGAACAAAGAGCGCTAATCATGACATGCCCAATGATATGAAGTCATGAACATTATAATATGATAAGTATACATTTAAAATAAACTGCCAGTCATGAACCACAACATGCAGGATGCAAGGGAAATTGAATATATTATAGTTCTAATAGTGCTCAAAATCTATCATGACATTTCAATGGATCAAATCAATAAGAAGAAATGCAGACCCTTTTATTAATGTGCGTGGTGAAGCACAGGCATGCTGCCCGTAGTGGTAAATGAACCTAATTAGATTGCTGCTTCCATGCACATAAATCAACACACCAGGAATTCATGTTTACAAAGAGTGCCAAGAATAATTATTAGAATGTCAGCAATGTTAAAATCTTAAATACACCAAATCAATAAAGGTGATATGAAAATAACCTGGATCTTTCTCTGAAGGCTTCAACACAAATGTATTACCACACGTTGCCGCCATGGGAAACATCTGAAGAGACATATGAATTATTCGTAGAGATCAAACTACACAATCCAAACAGAAATTTGAAAATCATTACCAGAAAATCTACTTATCAAGAAAACCAATCAAGAAATAAGAAAATAAGAAAAAACATGAGTCACATATCCTAGCGCATACAGCAAAAAGAAACCATCTAAGTTGCTAGAAATATGCAGAGGACACGAAGTCACATATCAATATTGTAAACAACTAAATATTGATCTAACACATACAAATAAATTTTCATGTCAATGGGGATGCATATAGGCACTGTTAGGACACACAATTTATTCATGAATAATACCATTCTCTGCCCCACCAATTCATGAATAGTAATGAGCATCGTTTGGTCCATTCCAGTTATTCATGAGTAAGGCCCATTTCTATCCTGCACTTATTTGAAATATGCCGCAAAACCTTTCCTACCTATTTAAAGAAAATCTGTTTCTCCCATGTTCATGAACAAATCCATGAAAATAATTGTGGTAGTGTCCAAACTGGGCCATAGTTTAAGATGTAGAGTTTTACATTGTGGGGAATTATTTGTTTTCTTCTCTATGGCTAAAATCCACTCCTCTGAGAGATTTATAAATTTTTATGAATTCGGAGGTATGAGCTAGCATTTCTGAGGCCGTTATTCAAGGGATTTCTAGATAATCACTCAGGAATGAAAGTGAGAGATTGTTGTCAGTAGCGGTTGCCAGGCCTCAAAGGACATCCCTCAATTGTTTAATAAAAATAAATACAGATAAAACCCTTGCTCAATGGGCCCTTAACTTACCCAGATGTTTCCTCCCCAAGCTTTCACCAGGGGCATGGTTAATAAAGATGATTAGGATGGCTGCCAAAGGAAAAATTCACTTGTAGTTCGTTGTGTATGTCATGACGAAGTTCTCTCCCTCTCATACTATGAGGACATATTGTTTCATCATGTTCTTAGATCTATGAATGGAGAGGTTGATCCTAATCTCGGTTTCTGGGTTGGCTGGGAGTCATTATGGATTAAGATCATATAATTCTTTTCCCTTTCACTAGGCAAGATAATACATTGTTGTATGTATCTTAGATTTTTTCACATCACAGTGACCTTGATGTAGACCTGTTTTAAATAGCTATATTGCTTATTAAAATCCAATATCAGAGTCAACAAACGAGAATATACACACATATCTTAAAATCCAATATCAGAGTCAACAAACGAGAATATACACACATATCTTGAAACAAAGCAAGACCTGAGATTTATGCAAGCCCACAAGGGAATCATAGCAGGAAAATTAAATGGCCATATTCCAGCACAAACATATCTTGAAACAAAACAAGACCTGAGATTTATGCATACCCACAAAGGAATCATAGCAGGAAAATTAAATGGGCATATTCCAGCACAAACACCCAGAGGTTCCCTGATGCTGTATGTATCAATCCCATTAGACACGTTTTGAACAAATTCACCTGTTTGTAGAGTAGCCATACCACAAGCATGTTCCACCACCTCTACAAGAGCAAATCCTTTATGTCAATATATTCTAATCCAAGTCATACTCATGTTAGCCAAAGCAATATCACAATTTGATCAATAAAAACTTATGAAAAAGAGAACAGTATAATCCACTCAACTGGAATACAAGAATAAAGTTTTCAACTTTTACGGCATTATGGTCACAAAATTATCAAGAGTAACATTACTAACTAAAACAAGTCCTTCAATCTAACTTATTTTTAAGAACATAGTTATTGATGTAGCAGTAGCAGTAGCAGTTGTAGAAGTAGTAGTCTATTGTTAGGGAGTGATATGATCCATATGGCCATGATAACAGTATGGTCATAAGGGTAATACCATCCAATCAATGGGAAGGGAGCAATAGTGATAACCCTTGTGACCTTGTTGCTATCATGATATATAAATCATACTACACTTTTTCCTAGTTCCTATTATAATTTCCCTGGTCCCTACTAATAGTAGCAGATGCAGTAACAGTAGCAGTAGCGGCAACAGTAGTAGCAGCAGTAGCTGCAACCGCTTTAATAGTAGTAGTAGTAATAGTATTAGTAGTAGGAGTATAAATAGCAGTGGAAGTTATAGCAGTATGAACAACAACAATAGGGGCAGCAACAGCAGCAATAGTGGTAGCAGCAGCAACAGCTGTTACGGAAGGAGTAGCAGAAGCAATAGAAACAGCAATACCCGGGGTTCTAGTAGACAAGCAATAGAAATGTTTGACAGGTAATTTCAACGAATAAATAAATAAGCCACATGTTTATGTGGTGCATGAATTCAGAATTGAACCTATGGAGTATAAAATATATAGTTAATAGCACCATGAATGAGTTGAGAAATGAAATATAGAAAGATGCCCAAGTTGAGATAATAAAAAAAAAATCACCTCTACTAATTTTTTTTTGTTTTTTTATTTTTTTTATTTTTTTTGCAATAGACACACATAAGTATCTTATTCAGTTTTTTCAAACGCATGCACAAGAATTAACTTTCCCATTTAAGAGTTGAAAGCTCCAGTTATTCCTGCAGCTGACTTTCTCCTTCATTCTCTTTTCTTTACTCACTACCAAGCCTTTCTCCTCATCAGATCTGGTCAATGCTTGGAATTTGATCCTTTAGAACTTACAATTTGTGGTTTAAAACCAGCAAGCAGCTGAAATAGCATTTGTTTCCCTCCCAAATCAGGACAAGATCCTCCCAAATCAGGACAAGATATAACAAATCAAAAAGTGGCATAGTCTTGACCAATTTGCAAAAAGCAGATAATGGGACTAGCCGTCACACAGTGCATGCAATGTACTCAAAATACAGATTTGGAGATAACATGATTACTCAATGTACGCAACATACTCAAATCACGATGGCATGCTTTTGGTATCATCTCACATGAATAAAATTAAAGAAAAATAATCCCGCATTTCTTAAAAGAGTCTGCATACAGCGCTAGCACTTAGGCAGTCCTACAGTTCCTGGCACCTTCCGAGACATCCGATGTCAAAAAGTGACAGTTGGATTATGTCTTTCCTTCAAATCTGTCATGGAAGAACTAAAATGAGGAATGTTGATGTGAAGTTATTCTGTGTCGACACGTAAGATTATTCCATATTTTAGAAGTGTGACACGTACTATTGAGGCCACATTGCCCGAAATGTACAGTCCCAGTATAGGTGGTGTGTCCACAAGTGTCGACAGGTGTCTACATGACACTGGGAAATGTGGGTAGGTCACACCGCATAGAATACTTTGCATTCTTAAAATGTGGGCATGATCCCAGTAAGCACTTAATTCGAAGAAAACTAAGGTTTTCTGAACATGGACTCTTATCCCATGAAAAACTTGAGGCGAATGAGCCATTGCTTGAATAAATGATTACAGACTAAAACAGAAAGACAAACTCACCAAACAATTACCAAATAATACAATGCTGAGAAAGATTGGAAACCAGTGAGGACAAGAAGAGAAGGTAAAAGCTTACAGTGTTCGACATCAATGCCTTGAAAATACAGCTTTAAACCAAATATCACATGTAATATAAATGAAGTCAGATATAAAAAGAACGACATCGGGACAATATAACTTGCAAATTCAGAAGATAAAGTTACCAACCTAGACCACGAAACACATCCCCCTGTGCATCACGCAACGTCTTTCCTTGTTCAGTGGTAATATTCAGGGCAAGTTTATCCTGTCAAGGAGTTAAAATTGTCTCATCTAGAATAGAAAAAACATGTGGAAAGAGAAAATAACAATTTTGAGATATTTAATTCCCATTCTCCATACCATGTCTCTCCGGATGAGCTCCTGGAGCTTGAACATGATACGCTGTCGAGAAGTGACTGGTGTGTTCTTCCATGAAGGAAAGGCATGTTTGGCTGCATTTACTGCAGCCTTAAACTCATCACTAGTCGTCAAGGGAACTTGAGAAACAACCTCTTGTGTTGCCTACAAATAATTTATGAAGTGAAAACAAGTCAAGAAGGAATCCCAATAGTCCTGATATTTGGAAAACGTTGTCAAACAACTCAAATAGGCAATGCTTCCTATTGCTTAATGTCTTCCTGAAAAGTCTAAACCACAATCATGGAACTATGGATTTTTATTTGTCCAAGAAAACATTGCTCCACTAAGAGTTCAAACAAACAAATAATACAGTCTCAACATTAAAATAATGCTTACTGGGTTAATCACATCGATAAACACATCAGAGCGAGAATCCACAAGCTTCCCCCCAATAAGATTGCAGAGTTTTGGCTACAACAACAAATATAAAGTACGTGACAACATCAAATAACAACTATTGCAATGCAAAGACAGCAGCTTCATTGAAATAGATAAGGATATCAACTTCCAAGCCTCAGGATGTAATATAAAAATGAGAAGGTCATATCTGAATGCAGAAGCTGTACAAGCCAACTTCTAGATCAAAATGGCAAACACTGACTTTGGTACACACCAAAAGTATGAGATTATCTATAAAAGATGAGGCATCATTTATAAAAGATGAGGCATCATATCCATTGAAAGCATGGGTCAAGACTAATAAATAAGTAAATCTTCCACAGAAATCAACACTTGCAAAGTCCTAAAATCATTAAATCGGGACAAGATGACAGAATTGGGCATTCAAGTATATTCTCATTTTCTAATTTTCATGTATGTGTTGCTACGCTGACATCATACAATTGATCACACTCCTATCTAAAACGAAAATTTCGACATTAATTATCCTACTCAGATATACATTTTTTTCCCTTTCAAAGCGATATTACTCAAGAGGATTGGTATATAATGACACAAATTCCAAACAAACACAAAAAAAGATCTGACACAATTTCAAATAATGTAATAGGCTTTGCCCTTCAAAGTATGCATCCAAATGTAATCCCTTTTGGACAATAGATCAAACTTCCGAAGTTGGTTCTCCTATTTTGAGTTGTTTCTCTTTGAAATTTGATAGAGGCCCAATTTTTTTTTTAAGAAAGTTCACTCTGATGGGCCAATATTGATGATGGCCCAATATCATATAAATTATGATCACTCTGATGGGCCAATATTGATGATGGCCCAATATCACATAAATTATGATCATTTAACATCTTTAAGCAGCATAAATGAATGCAACCAGAGCAATAACACCGCTTTGTTGATACATACCATCCTTGTCATACTTCTTAAGTTTCTTTGATTATTAGTAATACCAATTAGAGTTTATATTTGAGGCAGTTTGTTGATTTAATTCAGAAGTTTCCCAAATGACCACCTCATACATATGAGAATTATTGCTCCTGCTCTGAATCAAATGCATTAAATTTTTTTATCAAAATTTATCACCCTGAATTCCTCTTAAATTTATGGAATATCAAATTGAAAAGCTTAAATTCGATTTTTTTTTTGTAATGAATGTTGAAAATTTTCCACTCAGTATAGTAGTCTATTAAATAATATAAATCGTAAGAGGTTATATTTATATTTAATTTTATAAAGCATGACTTCTTTCTTTAGTGACCAGCTACTTTCCAAAAAGAAAAACATCATAAATGGAAATGAAATTTTTTTTTTTTTTCCATTTTGATACAAATGGCAATGCTACACAACACGCATTATACAAAAATCTGCAATAGAAAAATCCAAACAAACAGAATTCACACAATATTAATCAAGTGAACTACTGCTTTTGAATACTTCGACAAATTAGAGGAGAATAAATTGATCAAATGAATTGCATCTCTACACCTATGCATTATAAAGGACAAAAAATTTGATCCCGATTAAAAGTTTGACATTTGAATACTCCTACAGATTTAAGTATTAAAAAGATTTTCTTATCATTAAGTATCAAAGATTGATCAAATGAAAAATCATTACAATAATTCTACAAAGTTAGAATTAAAGGATGACAATCAAAACAAAAGATCCTTACAGGTGAGGCTCTGTTATCAAGGGAAACATTAGTAGCAGTTGAAAAGAAGGCAATCCTGTGAATATCGCTCTGCAATTTTTGCAACAACAATCTTCTTGCTGCACACAAGATTACAAAATCTAAATGATAGAAAGAGAGCCAGAGAGAAAGAGAGAGGAGGAGGAGAAGGAGGAGGAGGAGGAGGAGGAGAGAGAGAGAGAGAGAGGAGAGAGAGTGAGAGTACCATGCAACATGTTGCTCTGCAAATGTTTGGCAAAGGAGTGTCCGCAAGTGTTTGACGCCGAATGCTACCTATAAAGTGGTGTTTGATACCAAGACTGTACAAGCCAACGTGGCAAGCACATCCGAGATGGAGATTAAAATTTCAGTAACTTTCGGGAAATTTTCGTATTCGTCCGAAACTTTAAGGAGGTCAGGTCATTCCGTCATTGTCATACTATGATCCATATGGTCCTGTGGATGACTATCTATCAACGGATCGACGACCCACCAAATTAGGGTCCTAACAACGATATATAATAAGGTTGCGGTTTGCATGGAGCCGAGGCTCTAGACAATCAACGTAAAGTGCACCTTCAAACTGTCGAAAAATATGGTTTTAATACTGTAAATATTTGTGATAGCCTTAAAATATATTTTCGCCTTTGATTATAAAAGTTAAAGCTTTAAAAATAGGAAAAATTATTAAAAACCCCCAAAAATATACTTTCTAGACACTCTACCCCCACCCTAAACTTTTTTCACTTATTTCTCTCAAAAACCATCTTTTCTAACTAATACCCCCAACTTAAAAAAAAAACAAAATTATCCTTCTTTTTTTAACTTTACCTTTTCCTTTTCCACTTGCCCATTAAAATCACTCCAGGTAAGTCCGACATTTACATTGCACGGTCTGGCGATGTTTCTTGTTACAATGCTCTATCCGACATTTCAAGTGTTTGCTCTGGTAGAGGTATTTCTGGATGCGTTAGTCCGACAGTTTATGTGCCCGGTCCGGAGAGTTGTTTACTGTAATGTGGGTGTTCCAGCGATTGGAATTAGCGCTCTGGTAAGTTACTTACTGGATTGGGGTAAATTGGCATATGTAATGTGTGGTCCGACTTGTGGTTCTGGAATGATGTTAAGTCCGGCGTTTCACAATTGCGCTCCAGCATTAGGGTCGATCTATTCGGCACTGGGAGGATGCAGCCTAGCAATATCTTACTCGCTGTCCAGCATTATGGAGCTTCGCTCCGATGATTTTGTTACTGTAGATGTAAGTTCAGCGTTTCATAGTCTCGGTCCGACGTTTTATATACAAAAGTATGGTGGTCCGGCGTTAGTAATCTACAGTTTGGCATATCATTGTCTAAATAAGCAGTCCAGTATTGTAGAAATGCAATCCGACACATGTCATAAGTCCGGAAAACAATAACCGCGGTCCGGCAAAAGTATTATTGGGGTCCGTCCAAATGATTTGTTCGTACGGTGAAGGTACGAGAAGGGGTATTTTTGTCAAAAAAATGTAAACTTTTTAGTTGGGGGGTATTAGTTAGAAAATATGGTTTTTGAGAAAAATAAGTGAGGAAAGTTTAAGGTGGCTTAGAGTATCTAAAAAGTATATTTTTGGGGGTTTTTAGCAATTTTCCCTTAAAAATAGTGTAGATTGCGCAGATCTAAAAAAATTTGAAAATCTTGAAAATTGACGGTCCGAAAATGCCAAAACTTGAAATCCGTTTTTTTCTCATGCTCGTGCATCTTGATGTTGAGATATCAATTTGAGGATATTTAAGCATGAAAACAACCTTTTCTAGTAAATTTTTTTTAAGTGGGCTCTAATTTGATTGTTTAGTGCCACAACTCTATATAAACTTTTTCCATATAATAATTCCATAGAGTACTAAAAATATGTAGCCCATTGGGTCATAACCGTCCATCATTAAATGGACGGTTGATGGGACAAATGCTTATTGGCTCGACATGGCGGGATTTGTGGTTGGCTATGCACTCTCTCCAAGGTGTACTTCAAAAAACCCACTAGTGAAGGTTATTTTTATGCTGGAAAACCTGCAAATCAATCATCTCGACCTCGAGATTCATAAACATGAAAAAAAAAAACGGATTTTTAGTCCTAAGAATAATTCAACTTCTTACTATCTTGACTGTCTATTTTCATGATTTTCAAGTGTTTATAGATCAACTTGATCATCACTATTTCTGGAACTTTGAAATTCATAATTGGACACAACAATAAATTTTCATATCATTACAAGGTTTTGTGGTACCGAAACTACATTTTTAGCATAGTTTTGAGGTGCACCTTGCTTCAATAGTATAAGGTTGATACCTTATACAAACCTCACCTTATACTAATAGCACTGTATGTTTTAACTCGTAAAGATAAAAATGAAGTTGTTAAAACCTTTGTCTTTTTCTACTCCCATGGGAGTATACTATCCATTTACTCCCTCGGGCAAAACTTACTTTAAGGATATCCTTTTTGGGAAAAGTTTATATACTTATCCTACAATATAGAAGATCTATGCTTCCCCTATCATCCAACTGTCCAATTTTAATCAAGATAGCCACTCACCATTTGATCTTAGATCCAACGTTTCAAAGTATTTTATTTTTAGTTTTATTTTTTATACAAATTGTATGAATATGTAATTTGGTACATGTGATATTCTCATTGGGGTGCACCTATAAAAAATATTAAAAATAATTTTTTGATAAAATATAATGACCAAAATACTCCTTAAATCTTTTAGGGGTGTTTTGGTCATTTTATTTTATTGGAAATATTTGTTTTATATTTTTCACTAGTGCGAGTTTAATAGAGGATTGGACGTCCAAAATTTGGTGTCAAAATAGTTTATAGAAAAAAACTAACCTTCTATTCAGAATGGACACCTCAATAAGGGGAAAGTATATAAGTTTTATGTGGTAGGGGAAGCATAAAAAGCTTGCCCATATTTTTCATTTCTAAATTTGGGGATATGATCATTAGAATTTGATAAATGACCTCAAAGAAAGACATTTTTAACTCTCACTCTCTATGTGCTTAAAAAAAAAATCATCCCAAGGGAGTAAATGTATAGTATGCTCCTAATGGAGCAATGTATAGTATGCTCCTAAGGGAGCATAGTACATGCACTCTTTGTTAAAAACCATCATTGACCTACTGCACCGCATCACTTGCACTTCGAAGGCCTGGTGATGGACTATTCGATCTCGAATATTTTTCGTTCCTTTTTCGGCCTATAGAGAGGCATGTCGTCCTTGGTGGCAAACTGTCCAGTTGAACATACCAGTCAACTCAATATCATTCGGAACAAGTCAAAAGGGAGTTTGAAAGATCATTTTCAAGTATTTCACTGTGAAATATTGAAGGCAGTAGGCATTGGGATCCAAGTGTAATGGTTAATAGCCGCAATGGCATGACTACACGGTATGCCACAGAGTTGCCATTTTCTACAACTACATGTCCAATAAGTTAAATCGACAGCATACTTCTTTCCAAGCTAATGGATCTCAAACTGCGTATCCATGACAGATATAATTGTGTGTAAAAATATTGCCTTCATCTTTCGCAAGTCGAGTAATTCTTGGGCTTTCGATACAAGCATGCCGCTTCAACTATTACCTAACTGCCTCTTCTCTTCAAATCTAGTCATCAATTGTAGGCTTAATTATTCACATGTTGCAATGATTGGTTTCTCTTGAGCAAATAAAATCAAAGCATTGACTTACTTGACTATGTTAGAGGTAAAATGATTACATCTCACCCCTGGAAAATATGCATCTGCCCAAGATTTGGGAAGGATATTCTCAATCCACGTATATGCTTCTAAGGCGACACACTGTATATCAAACATTATTTCGCCAAACCCAACAATGGTCGCTTTACGGGCAGCCTTCCAAAACAGCATCAGCAATACTTCGGTATTTATTGACTTCTTCATAAAGCCCTTGAAGTTCTCTCACATATGCATGCTGAATGCTGGAAAACATATGGGAAAACATTTTTCTATTGTTTCTGGAAAACTTTTTTGTCAATATGATATAATTATTAAGGCGGACAAATTATGAAACTCAATCAATACCTCACTCTGTATACTTAAGAACTAATATTAACTCTAGTAGTTATCCTTCTCGACCACTGCAAATGCCATTTGGAAGAACCAATTATTTGCATTTACAGCAATGACACACAATAATATGCCTTGATATTTTCCTTTTAAGAATGTCCCATCAACACTCATTAGTGGCTTGCATCCATTAACAAAACCCATAATGCATGGACGAAAAGCAATAAACAGTTGTTTGAACCTGCCTTCATCTGTGTGGATGCGAACTTCGGTTCTAGGGTTTGTTCTTCGGAGCTTCTCCATATATAATGGGAGATCATTGTATTGTTGTTCATGTGTTCCATCTATTATATATCTAGTAACTTTTTTTTCTCGCCAAGCTTGCATGTAGGAAAGCTTGATACCATGATCACGTTGAACATCATTTATGATGTCTTTGGCTTTAATTTTTTGTTGGTCAATAATACAGGCTATAATTTTTTTTGCCACCTAATCACTACGAGCTAGTAGTTGATGGACCTTTCTCATTGAACCACTCCATGTGTGCTCCTAAACCATGGATTTCACTTTGAAGTATGTCGTACTGGCAACTTGTAAGTATCACACTTGTTATCTGCATTCCTCGGACTTACAACTTGCCCACACCCGCCCCCCTTCTATTTTGTTAAACTTCATAACAAAATTATTGTGGACAACAAAATCAACCAGATGATGCCGGCATTCATTGACATTTCAAAAAATTGTCTAATTTTCAATTGAACTTCGTTACCAACTCCTCTACATGGGCTCTCAAATGGTTCAATATCCTTTATATCACACTCTGGTACAAGCTCTGGCTCGGGCACCACAAAAGATAGAGTATAAGATGAAGCAACAATTTGTGCACATAAAAGATTTAAATAAAGCTTTAGAGATGAAAATATAAATTGTAGATGTATTTAATCATTATTATGAAGGGAAAAAAATTTGACATTCTAGTAATAACGGAAACTATTTGGTATTTTGGTAATAATGAAAACTATAATGGATATTTACATAATTTTCCCTTTATTTTTTTGGATTGTTATATTCGTGGTGCTTTTCCTATGGAGTTCGAAGAAGTTGGGTTCTCTATGATCCAATAGACCACATTTTCCACAGTCCGTTGACAACTTTATAGTTTTACTGATATTTTTTCTTTAAAAATCGAGAGAAATTAGGACCTGTTTGTATGTAATCATTATCGCTAATAATTTATTGTCTTCAATAAAATTTAATCATAATAATTACCTGTTGGCAGTGTCTGTCATATATCTAAGATAAACATACATGCGGTTTTCAATACGAGTTTATCTTGTTTAGAAATTGCTTTATTTTATTCAAATATTTTATAGATTGTTTTTAGCCAAAAATAACTAAGAAAACTAGAAATACACACAATACAAGATACACACCAAACAACTAATAAAATGATATTGTCCAAAGTATATTAACTTTCCTAAACAAGATGGTCTATTCTAGACAAAATTAATTGTCATCGAACATATACTTTAAAAGTACGATATATATTGCTCAAATAGGATGGTCAACTTGACATAATCAGAAGTTGTTGGAGATTTCTAAGTTACAGCGCAACCTTTCGAATTTGTAACCAGTTCCGATTTTCGGATCCTATCTAGATCTAGGTATGGATTCCATATTTGGATCCGATAGGTCAGATCCAAATTCGAATAGTAATTCAGATCGGATTCGAGTATAGGTGGATCGGATTAAGATCTGATTTGGATCCAGATCGAATCCAAATCAGACCCTCTTATTCAAATATTATATACTAGTTTATATAATGGGTGCGGCTTGTATAGAGCTTAGGCTCTAAACAATCAAATTAGAGTCTACCTTCAAATAGTGTCGAGAAATGTGGTTTCAATACTGGAATTGTGATAGCCTTCAAATATATTTTCATCTTTATTTATAAAGTTTAAAGCTTCAAAAATAGTGTAGATCTATGAAAACTTGAAAATCTTGAAAATTGACAGTCCAAAATTGCATTACAAAATACACTACTTTCAAAACTTGAAATCTTTTTTTTTTTTTCTGATGTCCATGCATCTTGATGTCAAGATGATCAATTTGAATATATTTGGGCACCAAAACAACCTCTTTTAGCGAAAATTTTGATGTTTTGATTGTTTAGAGCCTCGGCTCTATATAAACTTTTCCCTTATATAATAATACTTTGCTTATCCAAGATCTTTGTATGTGGAGCTGTAAAGCAAAATAAAGGTGCCCAAGTCCTGTTGAGAATTTGCACAAAATAAGTGGAGATCTGTAGTAGACAGGAGCAACTAATAAGCCCCAGTTTCAATGGTGCTCTATTCATTCTAAACCTGATGTGAGAGTATGAGATTTTGCAGCAAATGTCAACTGCATGATTCTTTCATACTTCCGTTGTTAATTCACAAATAATTCACGCAAGCAATACAAAGAAAAGGATACCATGCTGTACTTGTTGCAATGAGACTTTAACCTCCATTAGGATACCGAAAACCGAGAACTAAACCACTTCAATTTAATGTGGGTCACATATGGCAAAAAAAATAAGAAGACAGAACATCAAAACAGAGGACCATTGATTTAAGAAGAAGAATTTGTTTCTCCATTCACAAAGTTCACCTTAGTAACTAGCGATTACAAGAAGCTTTGTTATATACAATTGAGCATGTTAATGCGTTGGATGGTGCTTTCTTGCGATGAAGGCAATTTCAAAGGTGTTTTGCTTTTTACACCACCACCCACAGACTGGATTCTAATATACAAAAGCATGAGCTAGATGATGCCCCTTAATAGCTGAGGAACCAGGAAAGCAAGCAAATCTATTACACAACACTCATTTTCTTCATGGAGCAAAACTGAGTAGGCTTTTACATTGTAGCTCTTCTTGATTTGCTCTTTCTCAGCAGTTAATTCCAGCTCAAAATTGGGTTTGAAGGATAAAATTTATATTTATTACAAAACCCACTATGATGCTTCCCCTGCTTCTCCTACACTTGAATTCTTTTCCACTTCTATACCATGGGCTTCGCGAATTAATTGCCTGCAGTGAACTATTTGCTCATAATCTTTGGATCTTTCATAAGCAATTGCTTGTGGGGTTTCAAAGGTTATTGGTTGGACTCTACGGCTTTGCATATATTGTCGCCTCCTCTCCCTTTCACGTTTTCTTTGTTCTTCTGTCATCCTTGCTCGCCGTCTACGTTGATAGAGTCGATTGCGTTCCCGTATTCGCTCCTTTAATAGCATATTGTCATCTAACAGCAAGAGAAAATGGAGTGAGTTTCGCAGTTTGTTGACATTTTCCTCTCAAAATATACCATGCATTGGAATTTACATAATAAAAACTGGTATATACAGTAAAAGATTCATGGAAAAGTTCTTCGAACTTTACTGTCCATGATAAAAATGAAACCTATAAAAAGTTTTGATACACAATTAATTGTTATCAGGATACACTGTTGAACGCTACACCGAGATAATCCCAATAGAAGGAAAATATTTACCTTTAGCATTAACCTGCCAAAATACCAGTATCATACATCCACATGGATGCCACAAAATACTCATAGTGATGTTCCTTTGAAATAAAAATTATTCTATCTACTTCAGCTGCAGCTTTGACTGACCACAACGGTCCAAAGGATACAGATGAGACACCAAACATCAAGTATGTAGATGCTAACAAGCCTTATGGCAGCTCTTTCTTATAATAGAAATCATCATTCTAAAAAGTACACTATTGAGGAATAGAATTTGGATAGAATTTCTCAATTTAGTTTATGATTTTGTCAACAAACGCTTGCACCTGTCACTAAATCAGTGACCATCTACAAATATTAGAATGTGAATGCTGAGAATCATCATTGGACCTTTTTTTTTTTCTTTTTGCTTCTATGTTACCACACAATTATCATCATAGGTGTTCATAATCAAAGAATTGGAGTTAATGAAAACAGTATGATCTTTCAATTCATAAACAGTGTGAAGACTGTTCTACTTGATCTCAAACACTTCCATATGTTTCCTCAACACCAATGTGAGTCATACATCGGATTCTATCCAGTTGATGAGGAAGATGGTCACCACCACCTTTAGAATCTTTCATGAGAATTACTCCAGTCAATGTGGATCACATGAAGTCAATAACAATTTTGCCAACTAAAATTATTGACAAACAATGACAAACCTACTGCAACTTTGTCAGCCCGAATGATACCAACAGTATAACATAATTGTCTATAATACATAGATATAGCTTGCAGTTTGTACAAAAAGAGAAACTTGAGTTTTACTATTGGGATTTCTACAAAGTGGGATATTGGTGGTCATAAATATTTGTATCACAGTTCCAGGTACTAAAAAGATCTGAAAAAATTTGATTATCTTGGTTTTCTTAACATGAGTCCTAGCAAAACATATCGACAATAAAAATTTATGTGCCAGTTTGATAAACTAAAAGAGAAGAAAGAAAAATCACAACTATTTTGACTTAAATGACCCATACAGGAAATGAAGTTGTAACATGGTCATGCCAATAAAAATGTACAAGGGGTTTCAACCAAATAGCTCACACCCCTATAAAATTAGAGCAACCCAGTCTATATACACATCGAAAAAGATTTGGTGGTCACATGGGACCAATGCAGGGCACATGATAATCTATACAATAACCTGGGAACAAGAAAAGGGAAAAAAGATGCCTCCAAATTGAGAGAAAAAAAAAATGTAGAGATTTAGACCATATTAAATGACTAGAAAAATAAAAAGGAGGTTACCTTATTTTGTTTTGATTCTTCTTTATGTTCCTACTTTATGTTCTGAATTGAATTTCTCTTAGTCTTAATGTGCTGTGGATTAATATTCATGTAGATAGAAAATTTTGGATATTGGACTAATCCTTTTTCTGTATTCAAAAAAACAAAGTTCATGATTTTTTATTTTTGATCAAAGGGCCTTGGAAAAGGATTAAGAGGTAAATAAAAGGCGGAAAATTTATTTTCAAAAATTATTAAATGACAAACACAATTACAACATAGCAATAAAAGGAACTGTTGGCATAAATGAGGGCAAAGGTCATAGATACGTTCATAAGATTAGGATATCAGAAGTAAAAGAAGCTTTGAACAGGATGAAGATAGGAAAGGTTTTAGGACTATATAGTATTTTGATAGAGGTTTGGAAGTGCATGCGGGAGATTGGCGTTGACTGGCTGACCGAGTTGTTTAACAAGATGTTGAAAATAAAGAAAATGCCCGATGAATGACGGAAAAGTATTGTGGTACCTATTTACAAGAACAAATGAGACATATAGAATTGTGCTAACGATCGAGGGATCAAACTTATGAGCCACACTATGAAGTTGTAGGAGAGAGTGATTGAGCAATGACTAAGGCATGAAATGAGTGTAACTAAAAACCAATTCAGTTTTATTCTAGGGAGATCAACAACCGAGGTTATTTTCCTACTTAGGCAACTGATTGAGAAGTTTAGGGCAAAAAAAAAAAGATCTCCACATGGTCTTTATTGATCTAAAGAGCACTTATGATAGAGTACCTACAGATTTGATTTGGTGGGTGTTGGAAAAGAAAGGAGTCTCCAGACACTATATCGACTTGGTGAGAGATGTGTATGAGGGAGCGCTAACTAGTAGAGAAACGAACGACTTGTCAATGATAATAGGTCTACGTCAGGGGCCAGCATTGAGCTTATACCTCTTTGTCTTAGTTATGGATGACTTAACTAGGCACCTACAAGATGAGGTACCATGGTGCATGTTGTATAAGGATGACATAGTTTTGATCGATGAGATCCGAAATGGCATCAACACAAAGTTAGAACTTTTGAAGGATGCTCTAAAATCTACAAGGATTAAAATTAGCTGGACAAAGACATAGTATATGGAATGCAAGTTTAGTAATAATAGGAGTAGAGAAAATGAAGTATTTAAGATTTACGGCCAAGAAATACCAAAAAGAATGCATTTTTCATATCTTGGGTCGATAATCCAAGAAAATGAAGAGATTGAGGAAGATGACACACATAGAATTACAACTAAAGGGCAAAGTGGAGACATACGACTGGAGTTTATGTGATCGTCGCATACCAATAAAGTTGAAGGACAAGTTCTTTATTTGGGTGGCCACACATTTAAGGGCCAATGAAGTTGAAGGACAAGTTCTTTATCTGGGTGTCCACACATGAAAGGGCCTTAACTGTGGACCACCTCCAAAGAAGGGGCATTCAACTCCCCAACAGGTGCATCACGTGTCAGAATGAAGCCAAAACCAATGCTCATCTATTTATACATTGTGAGATTGCATCCTTTCTCTGGAACTCAATTCTCCAACTATTCGGCTGGTTCTGGGCCACCCTCAATCTATACCACAACTCTTCTCTTCCTACCTCTCACCCCTGTGGCCTAGATCCGGCATCCTTCTTTGGAAAGCTTCTGTTGTAGCCATACTCTGGACTTTGTGGTTGGAAAGGAACCAAAGAATCTTTAGGGGTGAGTACTCTAATCCTGTAACGTTGCTGGAAAAGGTGAGATCCTTGGTCATCTTTTGGGCAACCAACTCTAAATCCTTTCAGCATATCTCTGTGGTGGACTTCCACCAAAATTGGAAAGCTTTGGTTCACTTAAGGCCTTCTCAAGTTCCAAGAGCAGCCTCTTGGTTCCCTCCCTCTCCGAGGCGCATTAAGCTTAACTTTGACGGATGTTCCTTAGGCAATCCTGGACCCTCGGGTGTAGGTGGTATCAACTGTGATCACGCTGGTCACACCCTCCTCTCTTTCGTGCATTCCACTGGTAGGTCAGACTCCACTGAGGCCGAGGTGATGGCCCTCCTTCATGGCCTTCGACACTTCAATAGGGAATGGGGAAACTCTTTGGTGATCGAAGGAGATTTTGCCAACGTTATCGCATGGGCGTCTAGTGCCGCCCAGTGCCCTTGGAGGCTCGATCCTGTTTTTGACGAGATTCACCACAAATGTTCTCTCCTAAAGATCGATTGGAGGCATACTTGGAGAGAGGCTAACTCCATCGCCGACGCTCTAGCCAAAAATGGAGCCCTGGGCTCAAATATTGTGGACTTTCCCTCCTAGATCCCCTAGATTCATTTTGCACTTTTTATAGCTTTGTTCTTCTATAGCCTTGTCATGGGTATTGGGTTTTAATTATGTAGCCCTGTAAAGGGTTTTACTCTCCTCTACCCACCTTGTGGGTGGGCAAACTGTGTACTTTCCTCTTTACCTCAATACAACAAGTAAACATTCTCAAAACAAAGTTCTATAAAATAACTGTGAAACCAGCTTTACTTTATGGAGTAGAATGTTGGGCGGTTAGAAAACAACATACCTATAGAATGAGTGTAGTTGAAAATGAGGATGTTGAGATGGATGAGTGGTAAGACAAGAAGGGATAGAATTCAAAATGAATACATTTGGGAAAATTTAAGTGTGGCACCAATAAACGATAAGATGAGAGAAAGTAGACTTAGGTGGCCTAGTCATATATGGCATAGACCTAGTACAACACCTGTTAGGAAGTACAAGTTAGTTCAAGTGGAAGGTTAAAAAAGAACAAGGGGTAGGCCCAAAAGGACATGGTTGGAAGTAGTGAGAAAAGATATGCAGACTTATGACCTCATTGAAGGTATGACCCTTAATAGAGCAGAATAGCGGACCAGAAGTTGTGTAGCCGACCCCAATTAGTTGAAAAAAAACTCTGATGATGATGATGATGCGCCCAACTTGTATCTTGGAGAATGATTTCACAAAACCATCTCATGAAAAGTTCCCAAATTGAAACCATGGGTAAGATAGATTGATAAATTAAGAAGAGAAATTGACTTCACTGCCTTGGGATCAGGCCTTCTTGATAAACAAGTTACAATAATCATTGTAACTGCATGATTTAGATGCTCTTAAAGTGCATATGTAATTGTTATAAATCCCTATTGTGCAGAAATATTTGAAGTTCCTAGGTATATAACACACATAAGATTACATAGTGAATACAACAAACAAAATACCTGTCCATGTTAACTCCACTTCCAAACTGGTTAGCCTTAACAGTTTACCCTCAATACAATCTCTTACAACACCAATATAAATAAAAGTTGAAAAAGCACATCAAAATCTCCAAGACCAAGCAAGAAACTGAATATAGGAAAATACCAACCATGTGTAAGAGTTTCCTACTTTCAAATGAATGCAAGTACAAACACAGACAAATTTGGGGCTTTAAAAGTGCAGAAATAAAATTTTTAGAAAACATATTGAAGATCATGACCAACTCTCCTGAGTCAACTGACCTAGAACAGTATTTCATCAACTTAAGGAAACTTGGTTCCAGCATTTTATTTTTTGCCATGCAAAATGGTCAAGTCATTGAAAACCTCAACCAAGTATTGGCATTGCTTTTTTCAATCAACACCATCCAGGATGGATTTGGCTCAAGTCAATTCAAACCGACTTAAAACCATGACTTTTATTTATCTCTCTCAAAAAAACCATGACTTTTATTTATCCATATGTTAGCTATGGTAGTTCAGATTTTAAAATCTATATCTAAAATAGGCTAATCAAATATCACTGCATCTTCTCTCAAAACTTCTCCTTATGCTAAAACAAATATAGGAAAGAAAGATAGCATTCCCTCTTATAAGAAGGAACAAGAGGTTAGACAACATCCATCTGTCCTCAACAAAGCTATTCATAACAATAAAAAACAACCATTTGATGTCTAGGACAGACCTACGGGCAATTGAAGCTTCTTCAAGTCCTCTGATGAACAAAATTTTTCGTCTTCAATTAAGTCTTCCAAAGTTTCATCAATTTGTGGTTGAAAAGTACTCGGAAAAGTAACTATTGTGCTCCCTCTTTTTAGTGGTGTTTTTTTCTGAAGTGGAAAAGATGACGAGCATATATCCCATGAAGGTCTCTTAGCCTTCACCTGCACAAATAAATCCTATCACATATCAGCATAAATTTTTTAAAAAGTAGTTCACTAGAAATCTTGAACATCAGATACTACTCCATCTACAAACAAAATAAGCAAACAATCAGAATATTTGATCTAAAGAAACAACTTATATAAGTGCTAAAAAGAATGGCACCATTGCAAAAGAATTATGTATATAACCCAATAAACCCACATCAAATACTTATGGCAATGACAGATAAAACAATATTACAAGATATTTACAGCTATAAGCTCAAAGTCTTGAGGAATTGAATCAATTTCAGCAGAGTGGTCTATGCATTCAGCTCCCTCCAGTCCTGAAAAACCTGCAAAGAGGAGGTTGTGCTCCAAAGAAGCTCTGGACTGCTGTACAATCTGTTGAACCTAGAGTAAGAACGTGCTATAACATAAAAGCACTTGGCTCCAAAGAGAAACCAGAATAGAAAAAGCGAAAAAACATCATACAATTTCTTTGTTTCCTTCAAAGAAAGATGGTTCTTGTAAGTACACAGTGCCACCAGGTTTCAGCACTTTTGCCAGTTCTAACAGCCACAATTGTGTATGGAACCCAGGCTTCTCAGTTATGGAAACAACAGCAGATAGAGTGGAGTTAAAGTATAGATGCCCTTCTGCAATAGGAGAAAGCATAAAACTTCACACATAAACATTTGCTCCATCAATTGATTAGATTATTAACTGAAAGGATAACTTTACCCCACTTATATCACTAGATAGAAGAAACAAAAAAGGAACACTCACTAACTTAGATTTACCATAGAAACTACACTAATAAAACAATTACTCAGTTTAAAGATTTTAGAACGCAAAATGATCCATCTTGGCTTTTTCAGACAATAAATACAAATATAAAAGAACAGGAATGTCGTGCAAAGTAGAAACAAGAGAGAGAGCGAGAGAGAGAGACAGAGAGTTCCCATTTAGGGTATAAGATATTTATCTCAAGCACATTACCAACAAATGCAGGGCAAACACCAGCCACAATCTTAGAATTAGAAAAGAACCAATCACTTGCATTTTCATGAATTTACGTAACACACTTAGATCAGTACCTACGCACACACAAAAGTAAGCTACAAAGCCCAAGTACATATCAGATAAATTTTTTTTTGGGTAAGGTCACTAGAGCTGGGGCCTTTGGTTTCAAAGTGAGACTCTAGAAGCACACTGTTTTTCAAGTGAAAATATTGTTCTCCAATCTGATTGTCATATAAAAATAACCGAGTCCCTTGCTCGCTACTGAGCCCCTGTCAATCAGTAGGGATATTGTTTAAGAACTTCCTCTCTATCCAAATGTCCCAAATATGGTTAGGGAGTTCTTAGTGCAGGGTTTTAGACCCCCTAGAGAGTTCTTAACGCAGTTTTAGGGCTCCAAACCCCTGAAAATAACAAAAATCACATAATATCAATCTAATAAAAATCAATCCCATGACATATCCCTAAGATTTGGTTTTCCAATCTAAATATTCACAAAATATCATCTTAGTTCAAAAGATTCACAAAATATAAGCCCAAACCAGTAAATATTCACAAAATATTCCAACTACAAACATGGAAAAATATCACACAAGAAAAAACAAAAATTAAAGAATATCAAATCATAACACATTATACGAAGTACAAAACCCTAATTCAAATATCGTAATGCGCTAAGCTTTTCAAAATGAATTTGACATAGGCTCAAACATGTAAAAATCACAAAAAATATATATAAATAAAAGGATATCAAATCATAACACATTATACAAAAAAATTACCAAACCCTAATCCAAATATTGTAATGCACTAATCTTTTCAAAATGAAATTGATATAGTCCCAAACAAGCGATCTTTAGTAGCTATGCCACAACTCCAAGCTCCAAAAAGTATCGGGAATCGTTTGATTTCGCAAGAAATAAAAAATGTTGAAACATTTTTTGATCTTGATAGAAATCTAAAATCTTAGATCTTTGAGAGTTTTTCACTCTCTAAACACACATACAGAATTTTGGGAGGCTAGAAAGGCTGCCAAAACCCTTTTCCCCCTTTCAGGGGAAAATGTAAAAAATGCCCTTGGCCAAGGGCCCATTTCCGCCCTGCCCTCAGTTAGGGTGCATCGAGGCACCACCTAGTCCCTCGCCCGTTGAATGTTTAGACGCAAGGCATTTTAGCCTCTAGGCGGCCAAGCAGCCTAATTTTTTAATATTGCTAAGGGATTGTCGTTCCACAGACTCCTATCAAGTAAAGTCTGTTTCAAGGAATGTTGAAGGTATGCACAAAAGCTTTAATTGTGGATGAGCCTGATGTCTCATACACGCATGAACAAAATTAGGGAGGGAGAATTTTATTCTTAAAAAATCTTCAGCCTCAATGGGATAGTTACACACTATTTCTTTCTCTATAACTTTCTCTTTCTACAAATTTTCTATCTCTAGACAAGGCTCAGTAACCTCTCTCTAAACCTTCATGCCGACCCTCTTCTTTCTCTTTCTCTTTCCATACCTCTCACTAACTCACCTACAAACTCATTCAAGCTTTTCATAATTCTAGTAGGAATTATAGGTAAACCCTCATGCATATCCCAATAGCAAGAGAACTCTATTTACATGAACTCTCATCCTCATCTCTTGTCCTAGTAGAACTCATAACAACAATAGAGGCCTAATTTTGCAATGCTTTTTGTTTTAACTAGGCACTCAATGGAAGATAAATTCATCTATATTTGTGTCTCTCAGGCTTCTTGTGAAGTAGGAAGTCCAATTCATTATAACTCAACATTTTTCCATGCAGTCCCTAACCAGCGTTATCACAAATTAATCAAGAAGATACTTTGCAAAGGTCAATTTATGAACTAGTGACTATCCTTAGATCTTGTGTTGAGAGAGGAATTATCATATGGGCTGAAAATATGTGCTCAATTGCAGACTTTTTTCATTGCTTTGAACAAGGCTGCCTGAGAAATTAATGACTATCCTTAAGTCTCGCATAGAAAGGGGAATCATCACATTGGCTGAAAGGATCTGCTCAATTGTATACTTTTTTCCTTCTTTGAACAAGGCTTCCTAAGAAATATTCATAATCCTTCCAAGAATGGGCTACAACTACTTCACAATTTGTAAATGTTGTTATGTAGATTAACAGGTCTAAAATCATTCATTGAAATTTTGTGTTTGAGTTTTGTAATCAACAACAAAAATGTACCATTTTCTCTTAATAAAGAGGCACTTGATTGCATAAAATCTCTCACGAAAGGCCACAGTCTTCGGAAGAAATTAGCCAAAAAGTCCAAACAGGCCTTATAATTTTCTGGAACCCACACTTTTGTGGGTCTGCCTAGCTTCCTCAATATTAATCCTTACGATGAAGTTAACATTTTGTTCATTAGATGTTTATCCAGGCAAGGCCTATGGATTAGATATTGGAAGTCCCAATCATACCTGCGAGATCTTTGAAGAAATAAGTAACTTCATCAATGATCTCTTTCTGATCATAATTTTGGAGAATGAATGTGTAGAACTCTGGCTTCCTCAACCCATTAGGATCTTGCTTTCCGCATGCAAAAGGAATTGTCCTGATCCATAACTATTCTGGGATCCCCATGATATAAATTCTTTGCACTAAGAAGATACTCATCTCCCATAGAATATTTCAATTCTATTAGGATTAATGCAAATTTTCTTCAAACTCTTCCAATTTGGACAGCATATCACCTGAAGTATGTTTTGTTCCATTCAATAGTGGATCATTTCCAGGGTAGCAAGATTTTGGAGAAACAAGACATATGATTAACCATCCAAAAATCGATGTCAAAAAAAAAGAGTGACTATCCCAAAAATGTGTTACATGTTCACTTTCTTAATATTAGGTCACCTAACATAAAGAAACATATACGACAGCCATGTCTGTCTACTTTCCAAGAAGCAAAAACAATCCCTTTACAACTTGAATGGCTTCAGAAAAAGTTTGAATGGTTTCGACACCAAATTAAGCCCTCCATTATTTCTCCAGCAAGATGGAGTTGTGAACCACAAGTGGAAGTGAGGACTGTTCAGAATTTCCTCTTTGATCACATCCAAGTAAACCTATAATACAATTTAACACTAACAAAAGACAACACTTCCAAAACATATCACATAATCAAACAACACAAAACCAAAACTGGGTACTAAAAAAAAACAAAAGAAAAGAAAATGAAAAAGAAAAAAAAGTTGACTGTAACAAGAAGAAAACAATTTAAACGAACACACCAAATCAGTCAAAATTTAGAAGACACCCATTTCATTTTATCAGCATGACAGTTATTCTGCTCAAACAGTAGAACCCCAAAAGACCATTCCCAAATTTTAAGCAGAATAAAGGAATAACAGAGAACAATCAACAGAATCATCACTAAACAACGAGCCATCTCCAATGCAAACATAAAAATTTAAGCACCAATCCCTCACAAAAACCAGAAAGCAGCTGACCTAGGAGAGAAGCTTGGGTAATGATTCTGAGGTCTTTAGGCCCAACCGAGAAATGCTCAAGAGCCCAAACTACGATCCCTGCATTCATAGAGATCGAATCAGTGATTATGAGAACCCCCCCTTGAAAGTCCATTTCCATCAATAACGCTCTGTGTTCCCGCGAGTGGTTTTCTACGAAAAAACAAAGGGTTTTAAGGGACAACTGCACCTGAGACTGGGACCCAACTTCACTCCGAGACAAACCCATTTCTCTCTCCTCTACCCGCACGGGAGCACTCGACTGCAAAGGCCTGCATTTCTCAGGAGCAAACAAAAAGAGGTAAGTCAAAAGATATCCTCCTCCCGCGGGACGATACTATAGATTTCCTCCCTGTGGCAAAATACATGCAATGGATGGACGCTTTTTCGATTTTAGATTGTGGGGATGTACTCTCTACCGATGCATAAAATAATATGGTAAAATAATTTTTTTGAAGTAAACTCTATTTACTTGAAAAAAAAACGTATGCTTCAAGATTTAATTGACATCCAATTTTTGAATGACTAGATCTAGATCTAAGTGTCAAGAACTTAAAAGTCAAACTTTTTATTTTAAAATAATTATTTAATAAGTACCGTGTGTTTTTCAAAATTTTAGACTAAAGCAATTCAATTAAGTAGATGTTTTGAAATAGGGAGGATACACACAGTATGCTCCTACGGGAGCATAGTACATGCGCTTAAGAAGCGAACCATAAAGTGTAGCCTTTCTTACTTGTGAAAAGGGTACAAGGAGGTACAACACCTCTAGCCATCCGATTTTAAATTGGACAATTTGAATTGTGTCACGATTGATAAGTTTTTTTTTGAATTATTGATAAGTTTTTTTTTGAATTTTAGATCTAGTCAATGACACTTAATTGAAATTTAATAGACACCGGGCGATAATAACCTCTTTATACTAAAAATAAATAGTCTCGTACTATTTATCTTTTTATTGTTGTAGGTGGTTAAATTCTTCATTGACTTTTATTAGTATATTAGCAGAAGAGATATTTGGGGTTTGTTTGTCCACCTACAACTTCTAGTGATCCAACTCAAAATGCGTGGGTAGCAGAAAAAAAAATATGAGCCATAAACAAAGTGTAGACAGGCTATTTTGAAATTTTGTAAGCATTTATAGATATGTTCGATCTGTATTATTGTTTTAGCCTAGAATTTCATAATTAGAGATGAAAATAGATATTTAGTGTTAAGATTTAATACCCCGCTTAGATGCAAAAATAGAAATTGCAAAAGTTAGATACCACCAAAATTGTATACTTATCCTGCTAGATACAAATAGGCGAGAGTACAAACCATGATATGAGAAATAAAGCATAAAACATACACACACTACAAGAGCAAGCAAAAAGATTTATATGGTTCATCTTAAAGCGGGCTACATCCATGAGCCTGACAAACTGAAATCCCCTATACCAATAAAAATTACATTAAAGATTTTATAACATAGACCTACCTCTTTAACCCTCCACAAATCCTAGCCGAGCAAACCATTTTAGACATTCTCTCCTGATCGGCACAACCGCCAGTCTCTCAAGGTTCTCTTCTTGGACAATGGTTTAGCTTTGGAGTAAATATAAGAGATCGAAAGTGGTGTCGGTCGGAAGAGCACGTCTAAAAATGTTTGCTCAACTGTATTTTGTCGAGGGTTAAAGAGATAACTATATGTTCTAAATCTTGATATAAATTTTATTGGTACAATAGATTTAAGTTTGTCATGCTTATAGATGTCACCCTCTTGGGGATGAACCATATAAATCTTTTTACTCTTGTAGTGTATGTGTTTTATGCTTTATTTTTCATACTATGGTTCGTTTGCTCACCTATTTTGTTTATAGCTGGATAAGTACATGATCTTGATAGGATCTAACTTTTGGGATTCATGTTTCCATATCTAAGAAGGCTAACAAGTGATATCAGAGCTCATGTTGCAGTACAAGGCTAGTATTTATGCATTCATTTAAAAAAAAGCACATGGCAAACTACGCGAGCATTTTATTTGAGGTGGATAAATATGATAGTAACCACAATCTTTCCAGCAAAAATAATAAAGGAATTTATTTGGTAAAAGATGAAGAATTCATAAAGCTATTTAATGGATGTTGGCACGGTAATCAGGTGATTTCAATATCAATTTAAAAATTGTTGGATATGGTGATATCCAAAGTCACTCACATAAAGAAATTACATATTACGTGGGACTGAGATTGATATTTATAAGTTTTCAAAAGGAAATAAAAATTCAAAAATATTATGATTCTTGGATATATCTCTTGGTTTTTTAGATATATGTAACACCTATGGGTAGTTTCCTATTTAGTATGGATTCCTGATATTGTATACTTAGGATGAAAGAGGAAAGAATGTGTGTCTTAATTGGGTCACCATATCGTAAATATGGCTTCCGCTATAAAGAGAGAGGCCTCTTGTGCGTGAGAGGTAAGGTCTAGGTCTCCCTTAGAGATAAGAGAGCTTCCTATAGAAAGAAACACTACTATGGTACCTCATATAGATTGAGAGGCTGATTTCTTTTTAGAACTGATTCTCATGGAGATTTTAGGTGGTTTCTCCTCATAGTTAGAGAAAGTCTTGGTTGTTCTCATAGTTGGGCTGTGGAATAGAGGTGAGTTTCTTTTTTAACAATGGTTTTGCCGTAGAGTAGAGATAAGAGATTGGTAGGTGGCGCCTGTCGGAAGAGCGGATCTAAAAGGGTTTACTCGACTAGGTTTTGTTGATAGTTAATGAAATAACTTTATGTCCCAAAATCTATGATGTAATTTTCATTGGTATAGTGGATTTCAACTTCTCATACCCATGGATGTAGCCTTTTTGGGGTGAACCATGTGAATCTTTGTGCTCTTGTGATGCTTGTGTTTTATGCTTTATTTTTCATATTATGGCTTGTACTCTCGTATATTTTGTTTATAACTGGATAACACGTTCCTAGTAAGACCCAACTTTTGAGATTCTTATTTTCGTATTTAAGAGAGCTATTAAATCCTAACAATTGAATATCACCATATCCAACATTTAGGTCATTGTAAAAGTTTCCAGTATCTAAAACATATTTTTTTATCAAGATTTAGAGGTGTGGCTTACTTTGATTGTTTGAAGTTGATATCTTGTATAAAACATATCCTACTCCAAGGCAAAATTTTATTTGTACAAGTTGCAACCTTATGCTACAAAAGTTAGGCAAACCTCATTGTTCCGACGTTGAAAAACCCTCCAATTTGATAACACACCCAAGCTATCAAATTTCACATCAGATGGTTATAACTAATTGTGACCTCCTTGTATCAAAGATAAATAGTCTTATTGTATACAATCCCTTAGCTAAGCTATATATTTTTTAAACTTTTAGTGTTCATACATCTGTTCAATGTAAGACTATTATCGGAGGGCAAGCTTTCTATGCTTCCCTTGCCACATAAAACTTGTGTCCTTCCATCCAACCATCCATTCTGAATGCAAGGCTAAGATTGCCCCAATCACAATGTCACGTCTCTACACTATTTTATTTTTAATCGTTTTTTTATAAACCATTTTGACACAATTTTGGACGTTTAATCCTATATTAAACTCGAACTAGCGAAAAATATAAAAAAACTATTTTCAATAAAATAAAATAACCAAAATACTCTTGAAATATTCAAGGGGTATTTTGGTTATTATATTTTATCAATAAATTATTTTTAATATTTTTTATAGGTGCGCCCCAATGAAAAGATGACACGTACCAAATTTCATATCCACATAATTTGCATAAAAAAACTGAAAATAAAATCACTTTGAGAATTCGAATCTAAGATCAAATGGTGAGTGGTTATCTTGATCAAAATTGGATGGCTGGATAGTAGGGGAAGCATAGATCTTCTATGCTATAGGGGAAGTATAGAAACCTTTCCCATTATTAGAAGTTTAACTTCTATAATCAGGGACTGAAATAGATTTTTAGGCCATAGTAAATGTTTCTGATATTGAATTTGCATCTTTTAGCAAGATTTAGATGTGCGGCTTCGATTGGTCAACACCCTACTACTCCCTTACTCGTTCTTTAGAATGGTATCCTATAGCTTTTCATTTAATATCGAAGTGTTGTACATGTATACAAGTATTCTCCAAAGTAGTGTATAAAAGAAAAGATGAGCATATTAGTAGTAGCAGTATCATTTGTACAAATAAGAATCCCTTCCCCACGATTTTTTTTTTTCTCCACACGATTTTGGCCAATAGCAATGACAAACTGGATCCATGGTGGCTGGGATATCCAATCTTGGATTTAGTTTTCGTAGGGGTTAAGCTTGTCTATTAAAACTGAGTTGAGCTCTAGTGAAACTTGATACTTGAAGTTTTCACTACAATTTATTTACTATTTCACTGCCTTTAATATTGGATTCAACTACCTTTATTTCTGGAGTAAATTAATAAATTGAATTTATCAACCATTTAACATTTATCTTTCGTAACTATTTCGAGTCATGAAATTATAATGTTAAATAGGTCCACTCTTATGTGCATTTTGATAAATTTCTCTTAATTCATTACCATTTATGGGTGAGAACCTCAAATCTGTTGGGTTTATGTGGCTTTTAAAGGCCTTATGAGTGTGTATTGAAACACTTTTATTATAGTGAACCATAAACTCAGTGGGAGTGTGATCCCTCAAGGACCATACTAAGCAAATGATGTTTGCTTATTCCAGACTGTGCTTATCGATCTAGGTCAGTCTATTGGAAAACCCAAGGTACCTGGGCATAAAGAATTAAACCGATTAGGGTTTTGGGTTAGCCCTTGATGAGGTCGGAGCTTATACCTAGATGAGTGAGCCGAGGGACTGTGTGGCCCTTGTGTGTGGTGGTAGGCCTACTGAGACGGGGGCCAAAACTTCATCTATGTTCCTTCACACGGCATGCATATCGATAGATCGTTCGGGAAAGCCAGATATCCACCTTTAGGTGAAGCGTATGTACGTGCGAAAGATACCTCTATGCATCATAGAGCTATGGTCGCATCAGATCGTGGTGACGTTGACTCGTATCTAGAGGAGGACTTGTAATCCATGGACTGGGATTACGACCCCTTGATTCATCGATCTGACTTTAGTGACCCGCTAATGAGCCCCTGCTTGGATTGTGG